TCTTTTTTAATAAATCTGCAAAAATGTCAACAATTCTGTGTTTTTCTGTCAATATGGGGTGCTGTGTGTACATTAATGAGGAAAAAAAATTAACTTAAATGATTTTAGCAAATGGCGCTGCAATATAACAGAGTGAAAAATTTAAGGGGGTCTGAATACTTTCCGTACCCACTGTATATATATATATGTATGTGTGTATGGTTGTACATACACACATATGTAGTTGTTTTTTTGGTGTTTGGCTTAGTGTTATGTTAGAATCATTATTATACTCTTATACCTTTTGTTCTTTAATATTTTGAATAGTTTTTAGCTTTATTTTTTGTTTTTCATTTAAATGTTAAGTTTTGAAATTTTGTTGTATGCATTTGTCATTTTTATTTAATTTCTTTATTTTTAAAATGTGTATAAGTAGTATTTATAAAGTTTTAGCTTTTAGTTTTGGATCTGTTTTTAGTTGTTTTAATACTACAATTGATTGCTTCTGTTGTCCTCATTTGTAAGTCGCTTTGGATAAAAGTGTCTGCTAAATAACTCAATAAATAAATGAAAATAAATAAATAAAATAAATTTATTTCAGAAAAAAAATGAACTGACCCCAAACTTTTCAGCGGTAATGTACAATTTAAATGTAAAGTAAAAAAATAAATCATTTCACAAAATATTTTTTTTTTAGGTTTCAAATGATAAAATAGTATCTATATTGTTCAAAATTAAGACAAAAGACATTGTGACACATTCTGGTTGTCAAATGCAAGTGGAACGTGAACATGATAACCTTGAGACCAGTTGGTGAAAAGTAACAGCAAAAATGTCTAAGAAACGGGAAGTCAGAATGATACCATGAAATGGTTTTGTGATTAGGAATGACACTGTTGTGATTACATCAAGGCAACAGCATCCTGCTGTAACTGTGCGCATGTGTGTGTTTTTCCCACCTTGCTGAGAGAGCGGTCACTGACACAGCGAGCCAGCTGCTGCGTCTCAGTGACCTGATCAGCCACCCTTTTCTGCTCATTGAGTTTCTCAGCCAGGGTCTCCAATTCAGTCAGAGCCAATTGCAAGGGCAGCCTGTCCACATGGCCAGTGGGAGTGTTCTTCAGCATGTCCTAAAGACAGAGAAAGAGAATGAGTCAAACAGCAATAAGAGAGTGAGGATAAAAGAAAGACACCAAGTGAAAGAGTAAAAGGGACTCATTTCAAGGAAGCTAATGAAAGAATGTAATGCCTGCACCTCTACCGCACAGACAACACATTAGCCATTGTGACGTACTATAACTAGAGTTCGATCAAATGATTGGTTTTGTCAATTAATCAGCACCGATTGTTGATTGCCGTCTGTAAGTCTGTATGCTTCATTTAGGCCGCATTTACACTGCATGGTTCAAGTGACCCAATTCCGATTTTTTCCTCCCACGTGGCACAGATTGGATATGTCCCACGAACGTGGATTTCGATATACTCACATAGATTCCGATATTCTCAGATCGGTTTCAGGCCTCATTCATTTGTGGAAATAAATCTGATATGAATCGGATACTTGCATTTGCCCCTGCCGTTTAAGTGGACAGATCGGATATTCCCCTGTTAACGGTGGCTCGTGCACAGACGAGCGCTTCAATGTAATGAAAACCTGTTGTGTAGGCTCTCTATTTATTTGGGTGAAATCACAAAAAATGCACACAAACATGTCCCTGCTCTTGATATACAATCACTGATGAACACATTTGGTTTTAATGAGGAAAAAAAACTATACGAGGGTGGATTTAAACCCAGACCCGCTAACTTGGCACAAGCTCTGCCGCTAGACCATTAGACCGTTAGACCATTAGTGCTTGCGGATGTGTACAGCGGATCTGTGCATATAATCATTGTCATGAAGAATCTGTACTAATTAATGATTTTGATGTAAGGATGAAACTAGCCTATCACATTAAAACTGTTTCTATGAGTTCTGTCAATAAGTTAAACTCTGTGTTCATATTCTGGACTCATCTGCTTTTCTATACAAAGTATACTTTATTAATTGTGTGTGCAGAGTTTGGTCTTTTAATATCATTGTCTAATGCATTGAGCCACGTCAAGTTAAGCCTGTGTAGTGTAAATGCAGATATCGGATTAGATTGCGCTTTCTCTTTCCGTTTGCTCTTACCAAACTTCAAACTCATCTATGCCACTTTGTTCATTATTGAAGTAAACTTTTTGCCCGTTTGGTTAATAAACAAAATGTTTTAGACCGCCTCTTGAATTGAATGCGACGCATCCCGTTTTTGGAAAAGAACAACTTAGACCAAAGGTATCCAAACTCGGTTCTGGAGGGTTCACTGTCCTGCAGAGTTTAGCTCTAACTTGACTCAACACACCTGCCTGGATGTTTCTAGTATGCCTAGTAAGACCATGATTAGCTGGTTCAGGTGTGTTTAATTGGGGTTGGTGCAAAACTCTACAGGACAGTGGCCGTCCAAGAGCAGAACTGGACGCCCCTGGCTTATTCTGCCTAACATCTCTTTGTATGTTTTTAATAAGAGGTGTCAGTTCGTGGTGGATTTAGGCCACTAAAAAGGAGGAAGCAGATAAAAAGGTCTAAATAAAGGTAAAGCCTGTGATCGGTTCTTGTTCTGTTTAATGTGTGATTAAATACAGGCTACTCTCAAGTCAGAGCATTGAAAAAAAAAAATCTTATTCACATTCATAACTTATCAAAATTCATGGGTAATCGATGCCTACTGAGGTATGAAATTAAGTGCCACAGCACTCTTACCGCATGGGAAAGTACAGTGGTGAATTCTTTGCTTGTTCCTCGTCCATAAAAATGAACAAAAGTGAAGGAAGGACCCGAGGGAGCACAAATTGATGGTACAAACAGCTTGGCAATGTAAATTTGGTGAATTCATGACATTTCACTGTCATCTGAGACCCAATGGCTAAAGATGTCAATGTGATATTTCTGAAGTAGATTTTGATAATGCTCTGTCATTCTGGCATGTGGCTTGTTTGTGTAACAGAATTAGGGCTGCACGATATATCGAAAATATCGAAATATTGCAAATGTAAATATCGCGATGTTCATATCGCAAGGGCGTGCGATATCTGAATCATTTTAATAATAGGCTACTTAAATCAAAACGTTGCAAAAGGTCAAAGTTTTAGTTCGACGCATATATCAGAGAATTGCTTGACTTTAAAAAGAGTTATTAAGTGCAATAAGTTGCAGAAAACAACTCTTTGCCATCTCGTCTTGCTGTCTGACAGACAAGCCGCATCTCGCACAGCGTATCTTCTGTTCTGCCGCACACGTGCAAAGCACACGTGCAAAGCGCACGCACACACACGCAGAAAGACGCGTTTCAGACGGCGCGCGAACACCAAGTTGATTCGTCTTTCACATCTCCTCATGTTTGAACAGACACATACACACAGAATTATGTCAGTAGTACCCGTCTCGACGATCATTCTCGTAAACGCAGTCAGTTATGTTTTAAATGAATGTAAACAGCTGAGAAAGAAATCGGTTGTGTATCATTATACTGGATCCGTGCAGTCGGATTTAAAGGGACAGCAGCCTATAAATACGTGCTGCTGAATATGTCACTAATGTTAATCAAACAACAAAACAGCTATAACAAAGATTAATCTAAATTGAATTCATACAGTGAGCAACATGCAGTGTTATTTTACACTTAATTATTAAATTTCTGTACCTGAATACTATTTATTTTATCTATGCTTGTAAATTGTGTATTTGTTATTTTTTCCCCCTTTTTCTTTCTTTTTTTTACTGACTGTTCACTTGCCTTTAATCATGTTTGAACTTTCTCAGACTATATTTTTTGCTGTGGTATATGAAGTACGTAAAGTGTATGAAAAGCAAAGTCACAATGATATAAAATTAGTGTCATTATTTTTTTTTACATTCACATTTAAATATTTTAAAATATAATTTTAATAGATTTTTCACACTTTAAGCAATATCGTATCACATATCGAACATCGCATTTTTTAACAAGGTATCGCGTATTGCATTTTTTTTTCAATATCGCACAGCCCTAAACAGAATGGATATTTGAAATGTTTATTTATTTAAATAAACAGTTCACCCAAAGATGACAATGTAATTTATATAGTTCCAAACCCATTTGACTTCAGGCCACAAAAGGAGAAATCTAGAATAATGTACTAACCATTAATTTTTATACAATGAAAGTGAATGGGGACTCAGACTGAATAAATATAAATATAAATAATATGTGACCCTGGAAAACAAAACCAGTCATAAGGGTCAATTTTTTGAAATTGAGATTTACACATCATCTGAAATCGGAATAAATAAGCTTTCCATTGATGTATGGTTTGTTAGGATAGGACAATATTTGGCTGAGATACAACTATTTGAAAATCTGGAATCTGACGGTGCAAAAAAATCAAAATACTGAGAAAATCACCTTTAAAGTTGTCCAAATGAAGTTCTTAGCAATGCATATTACTAATCAAAAATTAAGTTTTGATATATTTACAGTAGGAAATTTACAAAATATATTCCTGGAACATGATCTTTACTTAAAGGAGACATATTATGCCCCTTTTTACAATATGTAATATAAGTCTCTGGTGTCCCCAGAATGTGTCTGTGAAGTTTCAGCTCAAAATACTCCACAGATCATTTATTATATGATTTTGAAAATGCCTATTTTGAGCGGAAGCAGAAACACGCTGTTTTTCGTGCCTGTATCTTTAAATGCAAATGAGCTGCTGCTCCCCACCCCCTTTTCCAGAATAGAGCTGCCATTACAGCTCATGCCTGCTAAAAACGTCTGTTTTGGTTCTGATTATCATGTTTATCACGCTGAAATCATGCGTTTTAAACCATATGAGTTTAAACTTCTGATATACAGTTTTCTGAATGCACTCGTACAGAAAACATCTGTCACAGCATGTGAGTACTAAACTAAGTTCTCATTCACACACAAGTTTACGATAAAAACACACGAGTTACAAAAGGTTGGTTATGTCTATGAAGGTAAACAGCTGGGAAATAAATCGCATGTTTATTTTAAAGTCAGATTTTCATGATATGTCACCTTTAATATCCTAATGATTTTTGGCATAAAAGAAAAATCGATAATTTTGACACATACAATGTTTTTTTGGCTATTGTTACAAATATACCCCAGCGACTTAAGACTGGTTTTGTGGTTCAGGGTCACATATATGAATAAATATGAAAACAATTATTTTGTTTTTATGAAAGTGAAAAAAGTGAAAGTGACGTGCCGTGTGCTCTGCATTTATCCCATCCAAGTGCACACACACAGCAGTGAGTAGTGAACAAACACACACACACACACACACTGTGAACAAATTTTCATTTTGGTCCCAGTGCACTTATATGGAAATACTGACAAGCATATTCTTTACCATTTTTTTCTTTTGGGTTTCACAGAAGAAAGAAAGTCTCGGGGTGAACTGCCTCATTTATTCAAGCAATGTGCGTGGTCTTTTTTTTTTGGTTTATTCAAGTTCTCTGTATAAAAATCTGATCTTGGAGTCTTGATATACACCCAATTCTGTATCATGGCCATGAGCTAAGGGAAGAGCAAACTTGTGAGCCAATAGGCTGCGAGAAGACCTGGCATGGTCTTAGCCAGTCATTCCGTTTCTAATAAACTTGCTTGGCAACTAATTTCTAGTAGTTTAAAGGAGCGTGACCCCTCCAGCACTCTAAACGATGGCACTGTGTTAACAGTTTATGGATAAATTCTGACCTGCAGGAGGAGTATGAATTGAGGAAAACGCTGAATAGGCTTCACCATCAGACCATAGAGAGTAATACGGTCAACGCTGGATGCCTGCTTCTTCTGTGAATGTAAAGAGATGCAACCACATATTGAGAGAAAGGCAAAGGAAAAGAAAAGGGTAGACAGAGTCATTCCCACATACAGAGCAGAAGAATCTTGACACTCAAGGAAGTCTGAGAGGTGGGTGGAGGTTAGCATTACACTATTGATTCTTTCATGCCTGCCAGCAGACTTTGGCAATCATTAGACTGTGCACTGTCAGATAGTAGGTGTACTTAAGAGCCCTCCAGCAGGTTTCAAAGCAAGGATATTAGACTATGGTCAACTATGCATTTGGGAAGTTCAGTCGCTTTTACAGATGTTAAAGATTCAAGTCACCGTGAAAATTTGTTGCCATGATAACACTACACACTTATTTTGTGATTTATGCAACTTAAAAAAAAGATAACCACAGTATCACATTTACAAGGAAAAATATTTTTAATAAAAAAAAATAAAAGCAACACTTATAATCCATTCAGCAATCAGGATATCAGGGGCTTGCCTGAAATGCTCCAAGCGAAAGATCTTCTCACTCTCAGACTAACCTCAAAGCTATTAAAATTAATGTCCAATGACTTCTTTTGTTTTTAATTAGTCTTTCTGACTCATCTTTCAGTTAAAATATTGAAAAATCCTTGAAAGAATGTAAAATTACTTGAGAACTAGCACTGCATTAGATATTGGGATTTTTTGGAGAATGTATTTTTATTTTTTATTTACTTGCTTTTAACTTATTTAATACACTTGTGTATAGAATACACTTATATTAAATATACATTTTCTAAAATCAAAAAAGAAGGTAATTTTAAAGTCAGTGTGACCCAAACAACATTGAACTCCACTGACTTTTTGTATGGACAATTTCTTTTTTTTTATATATATATATATCTTCTGTTATGTTTCACAGAAGAAAAAAGTCATAGGTTTGAAGGATATGAGCGAGAGAGTCAATTATTTACTTATTTTTATTTATTTTTTAAACAAAAAAAGCATACTCCTTAATAGGATTGTTTTGCATTCAAACAACAGCACAGCAGTAGAAAGAGGTGATTTAGGGTGAAACTTGTTTCTTCAAGAGGCTATTGACAGCAAATATCAGCTCTTACCTTGAGAAACTCCAGAAATGCTGGTTTAGACATGCAGGCTTTCTTAATTAGGGCCATGGCATTGGTGAAGTTATTGACGTAATCACTATATACGTCCAGCACCATGGATTTTGAGAACTTAGAGGAATACAGAGAGATGATGTTAAGACAAACAAATGCTTAGAGAAATCACATTTAATTTGGTTTTATGTCCATTTTCTGCTTTGTTTAATGCATCTGTTAACATGTACAGTTTCTCCTTCAGAGCTGAGACTGCTCTTGAATTTTGCTGTCGTGGTGGGCAGACCACTCTAAAGGTGATTACAGGGCAAAGAGATGGAAGTAAACAGTAATTTTAGTGTGGTATTTATGCAGCGCAGCACCACTGTTTGCCATCCCAAAGACCTAAACATCTTTGACAGTCCATTACTGCCTGGTGTTTTAGAGTAGGCAAAACGGCAGCCATCCATTCGCTCTGCTTTGATTGAAGCCGAACAGACCTGCTGACAGCAGCAGTGCTCGCAGGACCTGGAGAGAACATTAACGAGCCACAAATAGACGTTAACCCCTGTCAAACTGTACCTCCCCTTTGGGACCGCCAAGTATGGCAGGAAATGATACACACATGAAAAGATGTTATTATCAACAAACACACATACAGGGCAAATTTACGAAACAGTTGCAGCACTTTGCAGCGTTCAGTATTTCAGTGCAAAAACTATTAGGATTGTGCTATCAACTGCTAATAATTCGCAATTCATTACTATTTTACATTTTTGCGAATTAGTGGCTAATTTGTATGAAATCATACAATCTCATTCTCATTTGTATAGCACTTTTCACAATACACATGGTTTCAAAGAAGAATGTAATATTTGCATGCCTTATAGTCACTAGATTACAGCTGGGTGATAATATACAGTAGTTTACAATTTGACAAATGAAAAATCAAGCATCTCTTTACACGAGTTTACTGTATGCATTTACTTATATATCCAACTATTTTATAAATAAGAGATACATTGTGTACAATTTGATCATGTCAAAATAATAATCAACTGATGATCCAATAGTAGACAAGACTATACTATACGCCATAACCAAGCATATATCCATATGCAGAGAGTAAATGAGCACAACTTCACTATTTTAAAAAGCCAAGTTAGGTATGTTTGTGACATTGTCTGATTTTTATGATCAATCTGGTGCTAAAACAACAGAGACAACGCATGCAAATAATTTATGTTGTCTTTGTCTGCAGTTCAACCATAGCAAATTTGCCCCACAGTGTGTACATATGCACTCAATAACAGAAAGATTGCTTAAACCGGTGCAATATGATGTGTGTTATGTGGTTTGTGGGTCTATTTTCTGCTTCCCAATGCACAGCAGTGCACCTTTAGCTCTAAGTTTTCTCTCTATGGTACTTCTTTGTGCTCCAGGGACTTTATAAAGACCAATAGTGCTATGGAATAAAAGCAGGTCAGACAGGCCAAATGCTCTCTTTAAACAGAAGAATAATGAGAACAGCTTATGGATGCTGCCTCTGAGGAGGGTCACTCCAGAAACTCATTCATTAGTCCTTTAGACGCCCTGCAGCCCAATGGTGCCAACATGCTTACTTTGGTAAAAGACAGCCATCCTCACTCACAGTAATTGTCTCTGCTTTTGAAGTAAACTGGAGCAGAGCACTGTTAGTACCTGAAACCTGAAGTCATTTTCAAGAATTTTCCTACTCACTGAAGCTACAAACAGGTCCCCAATCTTTTCACAAGAGTCCCATTCGGCCACCCGAGATGCCAGGGCAATCTGGAACATGGAGTGGCATTGCATGATCTCCCGCAGACGGAAAAAAATGGGCCGGATTTTCCTGACACTGAGGATTCGAGGCTCAGCCTCCATCAGAGGACGCTGGTATTCCTAAAGGACCGTGGGAAATGGAGATATTTCTTATGTTACTTATAAATACTGAAATATTTGTATATTTATACATGAGAAATAATTCATTTACAGCTCTGACTTGCCTCACCTTGACAAGGGAGTCAGATTAAAAATGTGCTGAATTAATCTTAACAGCGAGGTGAAAAAAAATCAAGTCTCACTATGCATTATCCATTTCATTCATTTGAATGCACGATTCAAATTGTGCAATTTACATATATGAATACATCTTTGGAATAATGCATGTGTTTGAACAAAAGGAGATATATATCCTGACATCCATACATAGCACCTTCTTTTTTAGAGGCTCTTTCAGTGTTTCCTGATTATTCAGTTAGTCTTTGTTATATTGTATGAATTCTGCTTTGTTTCAAACTGGGTTGTCAGGTTTATTCAGTCTGTTTGAATTTATTCACTACTGGTCAAAAGCTTGTAATCATGAAGATTTTTTAATGTTTTTGAAATAAATTTCTTATGCTCACCAAAGCTACATTTATTTTATCAAAAATACAGTAAAAACACTAATAATAATGTGAAATAGTATTACAATTTTAAATAAATGTTTTCTATTGTAATATATTTTAAAATGAAATATATTCCTGTGATGGCAAATTGTCAGCATCCATTACTCCAGTTATCAGTAGCTATGTTTCCATCACCCTGTTTTTAAGTGCAATTTGGAGTATCGCATCAGAAACGAGTGAAGGAAATGCCCAATGTCGAAGAAAAACAATCCCTTAATTTGCAAAAAGGTTTTTACTCTCTCAAGCGAGCGTAAAAACCTTTTTGTGAATTAAGGGATTTTTTTAAGGGACTTGTGTGAAAAAGGATTAATGCAAATAATGAGAGATGGAAATGCATTTTGTGAATAAATTCCTCCATGAGCATCAAAACAGTCATGTGACTTTGCACTATGGGATGGCATAACCTGACTAACCAGCAGACAGATTTCGTTGCACAGCATCTTAAATGTTGTTATGGTCATTCTTAAATGCCTGAGCAGAGTCTGTCCTCAAAGTATTTCTGTATAACTGCCTCCGAACTGTCTTGCATGACTGTGTTCCCAAACAGCATGCATCCACCTCGTAAAGCGATGACCACAGTTTCGTCTGCTCACTCAAGTTACAAATACATTTATTATATATGAAAATTATTATATTCAGTGACTTCTCCTACTTTTCTTAGTGATATTTAGTGTTATTTTATCAGGAAGTGACGATTTTGTTCTCTTTGACTCGTTGGATGGAAACGTTGATTATTCGCACGTTTTATGCGATATTCCAATTTTGCACACAAGTTAAATTCACAACTTTGGATGGAAACCTGGCTAGTGTCACATGATCCTTCAGAAATCATTCGAATATGTTAATCTGCTGCTCAAATTCTTAATAGAACAATTCTTAATAGAACTATAAAAAATAGAACAGTTCTTTTAAATTGGAATATTTCACAATATTACTGTTTTTACTGTATTTTTCATCAAATAAATGCAGCACCGGTGAGCATTAGACTTCTTTCAAATAAAAATAAAAATCTTAATTATTCCAAACTAGTGTAAAGTTTCTAATTTAAACATTTGTCAAAAGAATACTCCTAAAATGTCTCTTTTTATTCTCCGAAACCCACAACACCTAAAAATTGGGCCACTCTTTTTTGCTACAATAAAAATGAAAAGGGTTGTTATGATCAAAAATGGCTAACAATAACTAAAGCATTTTGCAGGTGGCTAAAGAATAACAACATTTGGGTGAAATATTCCTTTCTTAATGTTAATTCTTCCTCTGATATTGGCTTTGACTGCTTTGCAACATTGCCAAATTGTGCTCAGCTAAATGTTTGTTTAAGCTTGATTTCCTCAAATTGCAAAACAAGCTAGTAATGTTCATAGATAAACTACAAGAGCTAATCTTTAAAAGCAAAGAGACTTTGCTGGTTAGACTGTGGATACAATACATTTTCCATGGCTGCTTTCTTTCCTACCCTGTAGTCTCCAGCACTAATGAATTATCGACAAAGAGAAAATAAGACAAAGGATGAGGCAATGGGAATATTTCTTTTTCTAAAGATGCATCTCCCCCCAACGGCACTATTAAACTTAATTACACAGCCCCCCCATTCCCCTGCTTTGAGGCCACTTTACCTGATCTAAACACCCTAGACCATGTCTAGCACGCTATAAAGAGAGCAGGAATTGTAAAGTACAGCCGACAGAGCTTTGATTCGACAACAAAGCTTGGAGACAGATCCTGAATGACTAGATTTCATAGAGCGTAAAGCTGTCATTGATCTGTGATTCCATTTTAGACGGTGCCTGTGCCTTCAAAGGAGTGTGATAACAAATGCTTTTCTCTCCACCACTAGCTGAGATCAGAATTATGTGTAATGAAACTCCACACTACGAAACCCACCAGACCTGCACGCTTCCATTTAAAGAAATGTGAATGTGAAGGCAAATTCAGTATTAAAGAAAACGTCTCAGGTTACTTATGTAACCATGGTTCCCTGAGTAGGGAACGAGACACTGCGTCCTCTAGGGGTCGCTATGGGGAACGCCTCGTCGTGAAGGACCTACCCTAAAAAGGGACAGAAACACACAGGTCCCGGGAAAAACTGCAAAGAAACAGAAGGGTTATACACACACAACCACCAGCTCATTAGATGCACACATCTGGACTTCTATCCCGGTCTTTCAGCCGGTCAGCCTGATATGCTCGTAGCATCACCATCGTGTACAATGACGAGGCGTTCCCCATAGCGACCCCTAGAGGACGCAGTTCGAAGTTCCCATGAAAGGGAACTGATAGTGTTATCACATTTTCACATTTGGAAGAGTCTTGACATTATTTGTAACCCTTCCAAAACTTTTGTTGTGTAATCATAAAAATGATTTAACCATTTCAAGACAAAAATAGTGACATTTTGACTAATGATTTCATGTACATATAACAAGCATTCCCAGAAAAATGAAAGGTGGCAATAATATTTGACTTTAGCATTTTACCTACTCTTTTGAATTTAAGTATGAATTTATTTTGAAGTATCAAAGCATGGAGTTTCAGTTTGATCTTAGCACACTGGAGAAAAAAAAGACACAACACTTTCTGTTATGTCAAAATATTTTGTCATTGCAAATACACCCTATTAAAATCTATCAAAAGGTTTTTCGTTTTTTTTTTCTCCAACACAGCTTTGGGGACAGATGCAACAGTATCTCACCTGTAGAATCCGTTTTAGAGAGTCCAGATAACTCCTCTCACTCTGCACAATGGAGCCCAAAATATGGCGTCGGACAATCTGTGGTTGAGATGAAAGACATTTATACATTCACAGTAAGTAGGACACAAGAGAAATAAAATATTATTTCTACTTGAAAATGATTTTTTTACATTACAAAAATGTATTTTCTGTCCGTTTTTATACATAATTGCTGAATAAAAGTATTTTTTGAACAGCAGTGTACAGCTATTGTCAATTATATATATTTATATATATATATATATACACACACTGAACAAAATTATAAACGCAACACTTTTGTTTTTGCCCCCATTTTTCATGAGCTGAACTCAAAGATCTAAGACTTTTTCTATGTACACAAAAGCAGGACCTGAAGTGGGACACTCACATTGACTCCATTGTGAAAAAGGCCCAGCAGAGGTTGTACTTCCTTCGTTTTACTCAGCTATTATTGAGTCGGTTCTGTGCTCTTCTATAACTGTCTGGTTTGGGTCAGCCAGCAATTCAGATATAAGAAGACTGCAACGGACTGTTAGGAGAGCAGAAATAATCATTGGTGTGCACCTGCCCAGTCTTCAGGACTTGTACAACTCCAGAGTGAAGAAACGGGCAGGAAACATCATCAAAGACCCCTCTCACCCCGGACACAACCTGTTTGCACTTCTCCCCTCAGGCAGACGCTACAGATCTCTGTGCACTAGAACATCTAGGCATAAAAAAAAAAAAGTTCCCCCATGCCATCTCCAGCTTAAACAGCTAACATATGAATCATTACCTGCGTTCTGTAATTCATTTCCGTAATTCATTCTACATCCTTAATTATTGCCTCTTTCTCAAGTATTATGTAAATACATATGCATATCTCTTTATTTATACAGTTCTATATAGAGTAAATGATGCACAAATCTGTACATAAATCTACTGCTCCAGATTCATACACATTATTTATTGTTAAGTTTTACTTTTTACATTTTTTTTTTTCTGTTCTCATGTCAGATGTGTATGTATGTATGTATGTATGCATGTATGTATGTACCAGGAGCATGTATGTATGTACTCCTCGTGTATAAAGCGAATAAAGCTAATTCTGATTCTGATCTGATATATATATATAGCGCGTGTCACTTCAAGCGGAAAGGAACCTGGCCTGCAAGGCCGGGACTTCCAGGTAACGTGGGACTTCCAGCAGAGCAGTCTTCAGCAAAAGCGACCGAATGTTGGCAGACTGTAGCGGCTCGAAGACGGGGCCCTTCAGGGCCCTCAGCACCGTGGGCAGATCCCATGAAGTGACGGTAGGGGGATGAGGCGGATTCAGAAAGCGGATGACCGCGCTGTGTCTGCCCACCGATTGGACCTCTATAGGGCATGAGAAGCCACTATACCCGTCACATAGACTTTGAGCGTGGATGGGGAGCGTCCCTTATCCAGCAGCTCTTGCAGAAATGACAATACCTCTGTCAAATCGGATGTCTGAGGGTCTTTGCCGCGGTGAGCATTCCGTCTCAGTGAGCGAGCAGTCTCTGCGTGGGGTCTGCCCAGACAGATAACGTACTCATTGCTCTTCTGCATCGTGCAAGTTTCCCTGCACGAGCCACACTCGCAGCGTGACATTTGCAACAACGTCGCTAGAATTTGCTCTTTTAGGGCTTACCTGCTAGAAATAAGCTCTTTCAGAATCGCCGGATGGCGGCAGGGGAAAC